ATCAAATAATTTGCCATAATTACATATGAGAAAGGAGTCTCTCTATAAGGTGGGAGAAGAATGTTAATATCAAATTAATTGTGCTCAATTATTTGCTTCTATCTACAGAACCTAAGTTAGGTATATTAAGATTGGGTTTTGCCATATAGAAAAGAATCCCCTTTATCTCTAAGTACTTTCTATGTTTCTTTTATAAAAATCTCTGAGTCTCAGAGAAGAAGCTGTGGTTATAACCCCAAATAACTTATAAAGACTCTTTGCCTAAGTTCTTATTTGTATATGCTTCTCATTAGTAACCTGGGGAGTCCAACAGTATAAGCAGAAATAGCCCCTCTTTCTATAGAGAAAACTGAGGCTCTGGGAAGACATGATTTTTCCCAACTTTTTATGCCAAGTAGCAGAATTTGGACTCTCAAACACTCATTGGTTAATGCCAGTGTTCTTTTCACTATGCCACACTGTCAAATATTTGACTTCTGTTTCCCAAATTCTTTACTAAGTTCCTTATTGTCAATTATCTAGATTTCTCATCTCCTCCTATTCTGTCTCCTTGGATTTGATGCCCCTTTCTTACTCAGACTTTCAATGCCTTTGATTTTCAAAACTTACCTGAATACACTGTAACCTCGTTTATCTGTAACATTTAAGGAATGGTTCATAATGAGTTTTCTGGATCACATAGTTATCATTAAATTTCAGGCTTTTAATTTTAATTTTTTTTTCCAATGGTGACCTTTCTAAAATACATTGTATACTTTCTTGCGTAAAACACTCTACATTAAGGTGGATTGTCTCCTGAAACCTAAAAGTTCATGCTTATTAGAATTATTATTATTATTGTACTTATTAAATGCCCTAAAAACATAATTTTATATTTCTATAACCAACTCTTCCAACCCTTCAGTACTATTTCCAACTGCCTATGGTCTGATTTAAAGTATATCCCCAAAAGTAATATCTCCTCAGAAACCGAAGCCATTGCAAGAGCTTGGAACCTAGTGTCTGCCTTGACCCTGTAGGTCAATGAAGATAGACAATCTAGTAAATTTAGAAGCTACATCAGTAGCAGTTGTAGAAAGACTGAATCAGATTCAATGGTTCAGCAATAATAGCTAGCATTCATAAAGTGTTTTTTAAATAATTTTTATTGATGTCTCTTTTTTTACATGGCCAAAAGTTGCCACAGTATCTATCCTTGCTGTAGTATCCATCACCATCCCACCTTGAGGAAGCCATCCCATGTAACAAATACTTTAAAGAAAAATCAGCGAAACTGATCAGTACACTGAAAAGGCTTAAAATATGTATAATTTATTACACCTGTATACCTTCCACCTCTGCAAAGGGATAGAGATGTCTTTTCATATCTTTTCTTTGTTATCCTTTCCATTTATATTATTGTAGCCATTATTTATTTTCTTGGCTTGCTTACTTCACTTTATGTTAATTCATGTAAATCTTTATGCTTTTCTGTAGTCATCATTTTTTCCATCTCTTACAGCATAGCAATATTCTGTTACCTTCGTGCATGATGGTTTACTTAGCCAATCCCCAGGCAGTGGACATCTACTTTATTTCCAGTTTTTGGTTTTTTGTTTTATTTTTTTTGTTGTTGTTGTTGTTTTTTTTTGCCATCTCAAAACATACTGATATAAATATTTTGTTGTTTTATGGGGACTTTGTACTTATTGATGACCACCTTGGGGTTTAAGCCTAATAGTGGAATCTCTGTGTCAAAGGGTATAGACATTTTAGTTCCTTTATTTGCATAATACCAAATTACTTTCCACCATAAATGTTCCAATTCACAGCTCCACCAATGATGCACACTAGTGTCCTTATCTTTCCATGACCCTTCCAATATTGATTTATTCCCATCTCTTATCATCTTTGCCAATTTGCAGGGTATGAGGTGAAATCTCAGGATTTTTTTGACTTGCATTTTTATTACTACTAATTTGGAGTATTCATTAATAATTTACAGTTCTTTTAAGAACTGTTATCTATTGGGGAATGGGCTTTTGGTCTATATAAATCTGTTGAGTGTTTTTACATCTTAAATGCAAAAAAAGCCTTGCCGGAAAAATCTGATGCAAAAACATTTTTTCCTATTAGATCTCTTCCCTTTTCATCCTAGGTACATTAATTTTACTTCTACAAAAGCTTTAAGTTTCATGGAATCATTATCTATTGTGTCTTCTGTAATTGCCTCTGTTTGTTGTTTAGTTGAGGCTATGTCTTCTACCCATAATTGTAAAAGGTATATGATCTACTTCTCTTGTAATTTTTTATGGCATGATCTTTAATATTAAAGTCATGTATCTATTTAGTTGTACAATAGAGAATAAGGTGTTGGTCTAAGCTTAATTTCTTCCATTCTGCTTTCCAGTTTTACCAGCAGTTTTTATTAAATGGGGAATTCTTTCCTAATTTGTTTTCTGGTTTCTTAAACTCTAGGTTGTTGAATTCCATTTTTTTCTGATTCTGCCTTGTCTAGTGTTTTCTCTTGATCAACAATACCAAATAGTTTTTATGACTATGCTTTATAATATAGTATAGGTCTGGAAGTGCTATTTCCTCCCATCCCTACCTCTTTTCATTATTTCCATTGATATTCTTGATTTTTCCAAATTTATTTTGTTAGTATTTTATCTAGGTCTTTATAGTATTCCTTTAATAATTTAATTGATATAGTATTGAAACTATAAAATTAACTTTGGTAGTATTGTCACTGTTATAATGTTGGCATAGCCCGGCCATGAGAACTAAATATTTTTCCAGTTACTAAGCTGCTCTTTGTTTCCTTCAGAAGCACTTTGTTATTGAATCTTTGGTGTATTGATTGCCAGATAATTTATGTATTTTTTATTTATATGGAGTGAGAATTCCCTTTCTGTTACAGCCTCTTGGATTTTATTATTGTTATAGAGAAATGCTGTCAATTTTTGAGGATTTTTTTTTATAGCCTGCAACTTGGCTAGTGCTTTATCTCAATTATTAACTTACTGATTCTCTAGGATTTTATTATTTCTTTTTAAGAGCAGATAGGTGGCACAATGGATAAAATACCAGGCCTGAAGTCAAAGAAGCCTGATTTCAAATCTGACCTCATACATTTACTAGCTGTGTAAACCTGGCCATGTCACTTAACCTCTGTTTGCCTCAGTTTCCTTATCTGTAAAATAGAGATAATCATAGTAGCTACCTCCCAAGGTTATTGTGAGGATCAAATGAGATAATAATTGTAAAGCATTTAGCATAGTGCTTGGCACCTTATATATGCTATATAAACGTTACTGTTATTTTTTTTTCCCCTTTGCCTTAACTCTCTTGATTTTTCTTGTCATGTTGGTATAGATAGCATTTCTAGCATTGCTTTTAATAGTAATAGTGATAATGAACATCCTTGCTTTACCCCCGAGCTGATTGGAAAAATTTCTAGCTATTTTCAATCACACATGTTTGCTTTCAGTTTTAAGTAGACACCACTTGTTATATTAAGAAAAAAATGCTTTTATTTTATGATTTCTTGTATTTTTCAGAGAAATAGGTTTTGAATTTTTAGCAAGAGCATTTTTTTAACTAATATAGTTTTTGTGTATTTTGGGAGACTGACTTTCAAGTATTTTATACATTCTGTAGTTTTCTTAAATGGAATATATTTCTTTCTCTTGATCATGTGTAGAAATGCTTATGATTTATGTAGATTTATTTTATATACACAGCTTTTTTCAACTTACTGTTTTAGTTGCTCATGGATAGATTGAAACAATATAATATAAATATAATAATAACTAAATTAACTAGGCTGTTCAGTACCATGCCAGTCAGACTACCAAAGAACTGTTTACAGAGCTAGGGGAGGGAAAAACAATGAAATTCATCTGAAAGAACTGATGAAGAGTGAAATGGGCAGGATCAGAAGAATATTTTATGCATAGCAACAATGTTAAGACAACTTACAAAGACTTGAAAACTATGATCAGTGCAGTTACAAGTCACGATTCCAAAAGATCAAAGATAATATATGCTACACATCTCATGACAGAAAGGTGATGGGCTCAAAATGGGACATAAATTTTGTATACATCCAGTGTGAGCATTGCCTTCCTTGATTATGCATGTTAGTTTAAGATTTTTCTTTTTCTTTTGGTCAGTTAAGATGAATTGGGGGTGTTTGAGTACTAAAAAAGAAAAGTTAGGCATTGACAGTGTTAGGAAGTACCTTTTCTCCCAGTGAGGATTCACAGGCTATAACTCTAGTCATTGATGACATTTATTGATTATTTAGTTGTAGGTGTGATATTGTAATTGATGATAATAGTGACCACGTAAAGATATAAACTGAAAAACTTCATTATTATAAGAGATACACTTTATATCATCTGGTTGTAAGCATTGAATTTTATTTAGTTCCTGATACGGCTTGAAGAAATATGCAAGAAAAAAAGTTGTTAGAAGGGCCCTATCCAGGCTATGAACTCAAAGGATATGGGTTCACATGCCACTTTTGATGCATTCTATCTTGTGACTTTGGAGAAATCTCTTAATTCTATGAGACTGAGTTTCCTCATCTCTAAGATGAGCAGAGTTTGACTAGATGACTTCCTGAAGTCCTTTCTGTGTATTTGGTTATACTGGAAAGGCATACATGTTATACTTTTACTTTGTATACTTCCCTTCAGTTTGATTAATTCTCTTAAAATATTCAGATATGATGCTACTTGGTATGTATATGTATGTGTGTATAAAGTGTTTTGAATTGACTCATCAAATATTATGCCTTTAAGCATAAGATTTTCCTGCTTATCGCCTATTATCCTCTTTATTCTTGGTAGTTTATAAAAGTTAATATTATGATTATTACTCCTGCCTTTTTTTAGTTCAACTAAAGTATAATCAATTATAGTAAGTAAAAAGAATGCTGCCCCTACAGGGAGATAAAAATATTTTAGAGCAAATTTTAATGCCACACATTTATTTTTTTTTTCCTCTTATAGGACAGCGGTGATTATCCCCTAACCATGCCTGGACCTCAGTGGAAAAAATTTCGCTCAAACTTTTGTGAATTCATTGGAGTTCTGATTCGACAGTGTCAATATAGCATAATTTATGATGAGTATATGATGGATACAGTTATTTCCCTTTTGACTGGTTTATCAGATTCCCAAGTCCGAGCTTTTAGGCATACAAGTACCTTGGCTGGTGAGTAAGCTTGATTTTATTAGGATTTCTTCAACATGATTGAATTTGGCTTCCCCTTATTAAATTAACTTCTTAAAACTAAATGTCAGTATGAAATAACCATTGTGCTATTGAATGTAAACATAACGTGGTTTATTTTCTTTATTATGTTCTTATGAATCATTTTGCTTACTTGAATTTTATGTGAATTTAATGACAAAACTTTTTTAATGTACTTTTAAGTGAATGTTCTTTGTAGACCATTCACACTTCAAGGCAATGACTATGAAAATCCTGTGTAAATTCCAGCATTTTCCCATATCTTTGTTTTATACCCAAAACCATTTTGGGAAGCTACTTAAGAGTTACCTAGGCCATTTTTTTAGGAACTCAACTGATCAAGATGCTAATTTAGAAGCGTTTTTAATTAATATGTATTTATTTCTTCATTGTATAATACAATTTCATGTCTTGACACATTGTCATCACATTTATATGAGAGCATTCTATAAAGTTGTCAGAGTTATGTAATCTTATACAAGCTAGAGCTACACAAATACCCTATCATTTTGTACATACAGAAATGTCCATTTGATTAAAAACTGATTGTTTCTTATATAGAAAAACTAGTCATTTTGATGCTGTATGAACACTCATAGTCAAAACCATTCATTACTTATTTGTGTTTTACAGTAATTAAATGCTTCCAATGCTCGCTCCATATTTCCCATTGGGTCTATCACTGAGCTTTTGTCCAAAAATATAGAGTTATCCTGTTCACTAAATGCAAGTTTTCAAAAAGCATTTGGAGGATGAGGGGGAACCAACATGTATCAAACCTTCCTTTTAACTTGATTCCAATTGATCTTAAATAAAATATTAATTATGTTACATGACTATTATTTAATTTCAGTTTATCTACCACTTAATTTCTTTTATATTCTGTCTGTTTGCTTGGAGACTTTGGACAGTTTGTACAGCTGACATAGTACTACCAAATCTTTTTTTTCTTTCATTTTTTTTTCTAAGATCAATTTAAATTCCAGATCACATTTAGCATACTGTCTTCTTGGGAAACCTTGGTTCAAATCATGTCTCAGATACTTGCTGTCTCTGTGAATGTAGGTAATGTTCTTAAACATTTCACAGTCAGCTTTCTTATCTGTAAAATAAAGATAATAATATTTATACTAGGATTCTTGTGAGGAAAGTGCTTTTTAAACCTTAAAATACTGTAGAAATGTGAGATGATATTTTAAGAACATTAACACTATGGATAAAGTTCCTTAGGGGAAAATTTAGTGGAATAATTTAACTAACTCATATTCATGTGGTACTCTACTGTTTAAATAAAAATACTTTCTTCACAATTATACTGTGAGATAAGAAATGCACATATTATTATCTTCCTTTTACAAATGATATAACTCAGGTCACAAGAAATTAAGAACTTGCCCATGATCAAATAGCAAGTAAGTATTGGAACCAAAATTCAAATCTAGATTTCCTGACTCCACCTTAATGACACTTTGAATTACAGCACGCTAAAATGTTGGGGAAGAGCCATAAACCTTATACTAGAAAGGAAAATAATATCTTTAGTCCATTTTAAAAATAAATGTTTATTAGTTCTTTCATTCTTTTTTTATTTTTTTGCTTTACAAGTTTTAAATCTTTTTCTTTTTATATTGTATCTTTTTAGTGCAGTTATTCTTAATTTTAATGTGAAATAAAGCACCATTTTCTTATCTGAAGATTTTCCCTTTCTGTATTAATAACTCCTATGATTATTATGATCTTCACACATTCTATTTCCACTTTTCTCTGTTAAAATGGTTTCTCCTAGCATTTCTATTCCTTTTTACTTTGTTCTTTCTTTACATAGTACTGTACCAGTTAACTCGAAGTCATTTTTCCATTAACTTTAGTCATTTGGAACACAACCAAGAACCTGCACTTGAGTCCGCTGTTTTCTTCTTGGCAAGTGCTTTGAGCTCTCCCTCACTCAGAGTTCTATGACTCTTATTTGTACATCATTGTAACAACTTTTGTTATTTGGTTTCTCAGCCCTACACAGATTAAAAACAGAAATTAGAAGAGTGAGAGCCCCGAAAACGATTTAAGCTATCAAAACAAAAGAGGAAGTAGAAAAACTATAACAAGTTGATATAAAAGAAAACCAGCTTGCAATCTTTTTTTTTCTTTTTTTTTTTAAGCATATCTAAAAACTCCAAATGCCATTTCCTGAAATGTCAAATAGGTACAGCAGAAAAAACTGTTGTGCTATAGATGGCAATTCTGTTTTGCAAGATAATACGTCAGTAATATTCCTAATGATCAAACCCAAGTCATCAAGCAAATGTTAAATACAATATATTCTGTAACAAATCAGGAAAAGTAAAAAGATGTCATTCCAAAATCATTCAAAACTTTGAAAAAGGAAAATTGGTCCTTATGGGAAGAATCTTCAGATATTTGAAAAATGCCAAATAAATGAAGTGTTGTTGTTCGTCTGTATTACCTTCTTCCTTTATGTCTGTAATTTTTAGTCCCTTTCCCCATCATTCTTTATTTTCTACGATTTCTATTATTTTGTCTTATCCACTTGCCTCCCAATTTTCAACCATTTTTTCTTCTTTTAAAGTTTTAAATCCCTTTTAATTTCCTATTTCCTCAAATCCCTTTTATTTTGATTAGGGCTCCCCTTCTGTTTCCTTTGACTCCAATATTATTCTTTCTCAGCTACCTAAAAATTCATTGTTTCTCTTCCCCTACATACTTCATCTCTCCACCATAGAACTCTATACAGGGCTGCCTTGAACTTCCTTTCCCATCATCTTATTATTTTCTTAAGAGTTAGATTCACTTACTGGTCTTCATAGTCAAACATCAAGGAAGAATGAATGAATTATTGTTTTTGTGTTTAGACAACTTTTTCCAAATATTCTGTTTTCCTTTGCAATTGTAATACAAATTAAAAGATTCTATTATTCCCATCCCCCTAGTTGGATGGTCATTATTATCTCCTAAGGAAAATTTTCAGGAAATGTGGGACATATTGCTATCATGGGGTATGTCACCTTCTCTTAAACAAGGACTCAGAAGACTAAATGAGAACTTGATTCCTGATTCCAAAACTAGACTCCTCCGGATTTTGCATTCTCATCTTTGTCCTGTCCTTTGTTATTTGATAGTGTTGTGGCCTTGGGTAGATGAAGAGATAATCGTTTTTATTCACTTTGCAGGACGAGTCTTGGGGACTAGATAAAATGGGCAGGAACATTTAATCCTCTGCTCCACTGACTATGTGCATGGAAAGTTACAAGGCAGTTATGGCCAGATATGGTTATCGTCTTTGGAATAAAATGCTCCTTGACATTGCTTATATCTTAGATGAGAAGAGAGACAATCAGGTTAGTTATCTTGTTAGGGTACAGATATGGTGAAGATTTCCTTCAGAGCTTCTTAAGTTATCTATGGCATCATGTTTAGAGTGGTCATATAAGTAGTACTTTTAATATGTACTCCAATTGTCCCTTTGTTTTCTTGTGATTAAAGAATTTGTCCCTTTGCTTAGTGCTTATTTATTGCAGTTATTTATACGTTGTTACATTGAAATTAGCTACTTTTCAATAATATTGTTTAGTGCTTTTCATCATCCGTTATAAGTTCATTTTTACCTCTCGTTGGCTAATTCTTTAAACTCATAATATTTTATCATCCTGCTGCTAAGATGTATTTAAACTGTGTAGTAGTAGTTCAAATATGTCTACACCATAGTTTTATGAAAAGACATTTTTATGCTCCATCTAGAAGTAACTTATTTTTACCTCTTTTTGAATGCCATATTGTTACATAAATGCTTACTGTTGCATTACTAATTTTTTATTTTTATTCTTTTGGCATTGCAATTTTCTGTCCATTAAGTTTATCAAGTAAGATTCTTCATATTGCTGTAATTAGTCCTTTGCCATTTTAAAATAATTTGAAGATCAGTATGTTTGATTTCTGTTTTTATTGGTTTTACTGTGTTTCCCAACATGTAATCTACAGGGTTTTTAAAACTAACCTTGTTATTGTTATTAAGTAGGACCATACAGTAACATTACCACCACCCCACATACAGTTTTTTGGAATATGTGTGTTTGTGTGTGTGTGTGTGTGTGTCTTTTAAAGTTTGTATACACACTCAAAGAGAAATTTTCCTATATAATTAGATGTCCAGAAAAAAATATTTTATCATATATTTTATTCTTTGCTTTCTTCCTGTCAACTTTCAGTGTGTGTGATTGTAAAATTTTGTATAACTTTATAATTTGAATCAATTTACATGTAACTGTTTCACAAGACAATATATAATGTACTTTTCAAAACTTTTATGTAAAAATTATGGTTATTTTACTAATTTTATAAAATCTAACGCTTTTAAGTGTTAAAGGATTCCTTTTTTTTTTTAATTTCTTATTTGCCATAATTCTATATTCCTTTACCTATTTTCCACGTATTGTCTCATACAATGTTTCTTTGCTAAACTGATTATTTTTTCGTTTAGTAGACGGCAACTTGTGGGATCACTAATGTGACTTTTTCCCCCCCAGTATTCTGAATCTCCCCACTTTTCTATGATTTATCACAGATGAGTTCATTATTCTTCAAGAATATTTGCCAAGAAATTCATTCCATCAGACACATTACTCTCTACCACCGCCCCAAAAAAGAAGTGATAGATAAAAATCTGTATTATAAGCAAGTGTTTTTTTGGTCTTTTCTGAATTACATGATTACCAAGAAATATGAGATTTAGAATTATTAATCCATAGCCATTAAGTTGATCCATCATTTGATAGAAAAGTATTCCTAAATCAATAATTAATAATATATGATTATTGGCATGGAGATATGAAAAAATAGTATATGTATCCTAGATGCAGTGTTATTTTAACATTTTCTTCTGCAGATGTAAGCAATGAAATAAATAACAATGTCAAGTTACGAAGGCCAACAAGTTGGAAAATAAGAGT